CCACACAGACCCCTCACACAGACCTCTCACACAGACCCCTCACACAGACCTCTCACACAGACCTCTCACACAGACCTCTCACACAGACCCCTCACACAGACCTCTCACACAGACCCCTCACACAGACCTCTCACACATACCTCTCACACAGACCTCTCACACAGAATTCTCACATAGAGCCCCACACAGATCCCTCACACAGACCTCTCACACAGACCCCTCACACAGACCCCTCACACAGACCTCTCACACAGAATTCTCACATAGAGCCCCACACAGACCCCTCACACAGACCTCTCACACAGACCTCTCACACATACCCCTCACACAGACCCCTCACACAGACCCCTCACACAGACCTCTCACACATACCTCTCACACAGACCTCTCACACAGAATTCTCACATAGAGCCCCACACAGACCCCTCACACAGACCTCTCACACAGACCCCTCACACAGACCTCTCACACAGACCTCTCACACAGACCTCTCACACAGAACCCTCACACAGACCCCGCACACAGACCTCTCACACAGAACCCTCACACAGACCCCTCACACAGACCCCTCACACAGACCTCTCACACAGATCCCTCACACAGAATTCTCACACAGACCCCTCACACAGAACCCTCACACAGACCTCTCACACAGACCCCGCACACAGACCCCTCACACTGACCAGTGTTTCTTCCAGACTTTTTTCTCCGGGGGGGGGGGCACTTGAAATTTTCGGGGGGGCGGTAAACTTTCTTCGGGGGGGCGGACACTGTTAAAAGAATATATTTTCTATATAAATTAAATAAATTTCATTCCGTTCGGGGGGGGGGGGGGGGCGGTAAAAATTTTTCGGGGGGGCAAAGCCCCCCGAAGAGATGCCTGGAAGAAACTCTGACACTGACCCCTCACACAGACCCCTCACACAGACCTCTCACACAGACCTCTCACACAGACCTCTCACACAGACCTCTCACTCAGACCCTCGCACAGACCTCTCACACAGAAACCTCTCACAGAATTCTCACATAGAGCCTCACACAGTCCCCTCTGATGTAGCCATACCATAGCCATATTACCCTTCTAGTCCGACCTCTGAATGCGCGACGAACTCTCGCAATTTCGGTGTTTAAATTTGTTTTTTGATTCATTGATTGCACAGCACACACGCATAGAAAATTAGATTGGTGTTGTGTCAATAATAATGGTGAGGGGATGAACATGGCATGCCAATTACTGCTGTCAAGGCATGCTGAAAAACTGCAAGAAGGTTTCGTGTTTCATCAAGAATATTGTCAGCAAAGACAGTAGCAATATTTTTATGTATGTTACATAAAGTTCCAAAAATTTACAAAATATTTTTAATTAATTCAAGAAATTAGCTTCTATTTTTAATGATTGTGAGTTTAGAAGTGTAACATCTGGCATCAGTTACTATATATTTGGGATGGGAAATAGTATGGTGTGGATTCAGTATCAGTGGTGTACGTAGTAACTTGTTGTATATATATATATATATATATATATATATATATATATATATATATATATATATATATATATATATATATATATATATACATATATATATCTAGTGATGTAATAAGAGCAGGCTAGAGATGTGTGGTTGTTATGTGCTATAGGCCAGAGCTGTTGATCAAGGTATTAAGACCAACGACCTATACGAACAAAAGTAATAAGGAAAGTTTTTGTTTAAAAACCCAACAATTAGTAACAGTAAGAACAATCGCCATTTGTAAGTGTTCATGTATAAAGATCTCTGTTGTTCAAAAGTTATCTGCCACAGACGGATACCGTTCTTGTTTTTGTGCAACCTTTACATTACATACTGTGCTAATCATAATTTACCCAATAATACATACAATACGGTTCACTATTTACCACTACAGTAAATGCAAGGCTGTTCATGCATACAACGCTGTTCACGATTTATCACGTTTTCTTCAGTGCTCATAAAGGTTTACATTTTTTTCAGGTTTAGAAATACATGGACATATACGATAAAGTCGCATAAATTTAACCCTAGCACACCTGAGCTATATCACCATCGCCGGAATACATCGCTTACATCCCCTTGTTATGTTTCTGATACATTTTTTTAATGTAACCCACAACGGCGCTCAAGATAAATGGGGCACTAATGTCATAGCAGTAAAGATTTATCCCCCTTTGCTACCCACCCGTGGGTTATTTCCCTTGCATGTTGCCAGGTCATTTGTCTTATGTGACGCCGATCTTAAACATCAGAAACACTATAACCACCAGAGTATTAGTCTAAACACTCAAACTATCTCCAGGAACATTATAGCAACCGTTACATTAGTCCACTTAAAGCACTAACATGAAAAAAATAAATAAAATAAAAAAACAAACAAACTAAAAGCAACAACCGATAAAATGTTATCAAACCTGACGTTTTAATTTGAACTCTTCGTCAACAAACGCTTAGCTAATGTGCAAATATAAACAACAATGAAAATAAAAACATAAATATAGAATTATAAGGGCACGCTTTCGTGTCTTCTAATTACAAACATAATATTTCTAAAATCGGGGATAGCGTCATAAATTGTATCTGATCTCACCCCCCATATATTTGTATATGTAACATAATAAATAATAAACTAACCGCCCCACCCATATATTGCGTTACAAAATTAAAAGTTTAACTTCACCTTTACATAGATGTTATCTCCGTGATCATAAACTACTGCTGTCAAGTTTCACGTTTTCTTTCCTCGTGAAGCTAGCGGGGGTGTGGACAAAAACGAACAAAAATTGCCAACTGTCAAGATTCAACAAAACTTAACACAACTGACAAGAAGAATCAGTTTAAAAATGTCAAAAAACACAACCGTCTAAAACGAACAAAAAATCACAACTTATTACAAGAATCAACAAATCAACAAACTGAATAGAATCAACCTAATATAACAGAATAGGCTCAAAACACCTAATACAACTGACACGAATTAACAAAACTTAACACAACTGACAAAAACCAACTTTAAACTAATGGGGACAAAAATCAACTTAACACAGCTGACAAAAATCAAGTTAACACAGCTGATAAAAATCAACTTAACACAGATAACAAAAATCAACTTAACAATCAACAGCCTAGTTAAACTTTAAACTAATGGGGACAAAAGTCAACTTAACACAGCTGACAAAAATCAAGTTAACACAGCTGATAAAAATCAACGTCACACAACTGACTACGAAATTTTTTCAAGCTACACTCGCCCACAACATTTTGTAGATAATTAAAACAAGAAAAAAATACAAAATTAAAAATCATCCCGTCAAACTGTTTTTAGCTTAAGATGTGAACCTGGGCCTATTTACGCATCGTGACAGTTTTTAAAATTAAAAAATAAAACAGGTTGCTATTGATGTACAAAAAAATTAACATTAAAAAAAAAACCCCGTGCCACTTATTCATAAAATCTGTTGTCCAAGACCTCGAACAGCCGGCCATCTTTAGAAAAATTTCCATGCCAACTGTTTTCTTAGACGGATGTATGGAGGCCATTTTGTGGGTCGTTCTTTGCTCTGAGCAGCGAACGCCCTAGAGGAGATATGAACAGTGCCATTGATCCGGCATGTTCTGGTGCCAGTATTTCAGGCGAGGGCGTTTACCAGCACGAGTCAGGGTTCCTGGAAGAATTTTTTTATCATAGAAAAATTGATGAATTGATGCTTTTACATGTTGAATTGGCACATGGGGATGGATTATACATTAATAAACAAAATTTTCTGAAGTTAACAAGCTTCTATGTACACAACAATTTTTTTTTCTGGTTAACTAGGTTTTTATATACACAACACAATTTCTTGAAGTTAACCAGCTTCATTTTACACAACTAAATTTTTGGAGTAAATTAGCAGATATTTACACAAACACATTTTCTGCGGTTAACTAGCTTTTGTTTACAGAACCACATTTCTGAAGTTAACTAGGTTTTATTTACACAATAAAATTTTCTGAAGTTAACTAGGTTTTATTTACACAATAAAATTTTCTGAAGTTAACTATGTTTTATTTACACAATAAAATTTTCTGAAGTTAACTAGGTTTTATTTACACAACAACATTTCTTTGACATAACCCAACACAATAACTATTACGTTGTGAAAGTCACAGCTATGGTATAAGTATAATACGAAACTCGCATTTTAGGCTTGTTTAAAAAAAAAACAACTATAATCTTAGTTTATTAAGTACACGCCAGTATTGAAAAGATGGCTCTTGTTAGGTCACATGTCACATGTCTGGCCCCTTCTAACAAGGTGACCTGTGTCACTACAGGCTGCTCTTAGATGACCTATGTGTCATGTCAAGTCCCTCTGAGGTGACCTGACAGGTCAGGCTCATCTATGGCTACCTATGAGTCATGTCAGGTCCCTCTAAAATAACATGGTGTTATAGAAAGCCGATATAAGATGACATATGTGTCACGTCAGGTCCCTCTAGATAATGTGTGTCACGTCACGTCCCTGTAGGTGAGTGTCACAGCAGGTCACTCTCCCAAATGTGACCCGAAATCTCGTGATGTCGGGCACCTCTCGCCCAGCCGCCAACCAATCAACGCGATACGCGATATCCCACGCGCCTCCGTGTACGAGCGGTCATGCTGAGCTGGGGGCTACACGGGAACATCACAAAAGCTGCTCACTATCAATGAACGCATCTGGTGACCGTGATACGTATTGCGTACAAAAAATACAAAGTTGTTTTTTTGCTTAAAAATGTTGCGATATTTTGTTAACGAAGTTTAAATGAACAGTTCTAAAATCCAGCGATTCATTTTTATGATGTGATTTTATCTAAAGCTGATTGTTCTGAATAAAAAAAAATTTCTACATTTTCTGTGAAATAAAATTAAAGCTATTTCATTTTTCATTTAATGTACTGTAATTTTTTTTTCAAATTTGTTGAAACATAGTCATTTTCAAACGTTGATGTTTACAATTTGAAGTCACCGTCAAAAGCAGTGGAGCGTCACGATGGTACAGCCACTACATTGTATAAATGGTTAACTGGATATTGAAGTCTTGTAGGCCTACTAAGGTAAGATACAATTTTAGTCATAACATTCTCCTTATGTGGGGCTACTTCCAGCACTAGAAACATTGACTTGTGTAAAAGTAAACAAAAATAATTAATGTTGTCTTTTCGAATCTGATGGTCCATGGGGTAAGTGAAGTAGAGTTCGCCTGTTTATGTGACATCAGTATATGAAGGGATAGAGTAGCCAGCACTATACCCAGCCTCCTTTACTTTCCCTAAGGAGAGTTAAGTACCCGTTAGAGCTGGGTGGACTCACAGACGTTCTACTGACAAGAACCCGGATTCGAACTCGAGACTCTCGTGTTAACAGTCTAGGGCTCTACCGCTAGGCCAGAGTTGTGTAGATAGTTGTAAACAAGAAACATTGACTTGTGTAGATAGTTATAACAAAAAAACATTGACTTGTGTAGAAAGTTTTTAAAAAATGTGTTACACTATCTTCTATGGATACTAGAGATTCCGTTTTGTTTACTGTTAACAAAAGTAGCAGTTATAGGCAAGGCTAGGATTTAAGGCCGAAGTGTTGTGATCATTAACCAGAGGCGTAGCGAGGGGGGGGGGGGGGAGGGCAGGGGGGGGGGACATACGTCCCCCGGAGCCGACCGGAATAGAATATTGAAAGTTTGAGGGGGGGGTGGTGTAAATCAAAAGTTGGAGGGGGTGCAAATCGAAAGTTTGTGGGGGGGGGGGGGGGTGCATATCGAATGTTTGAGTGGGGGGGGGGTGTGCAAATCGAAAGTTTGTCCCCGGGCACCGGGAAGGGTCGCTACGCCTCTGTCATTAACCCTAGCCCGTCCATTGTGGGGGGACGGGGGGGGGGAAGGTGGGGACAGGGGGGGGGGGGGCGGCCAACTAACAGTGAGGCAATACCTGTAAAACATTCCAGCTCTGGAAATCATTCCAACTGTGGAAAACACAGAAGAAACATATTAGATGTTTAAAATATTGGTCTTTATTGCAAAAAACTAATGGTAGATTTGTGTCATCTGGCTAATCCGTCTCGTCACCTGCCCTACTTTTTTCCCCGAACCATCAGCCGCAAGAGGCTTTGTCGAATGAATAAATGCGGCTCCGGAATAAATTCTGTTCCGGAATAAATGCGGCACCGGAATAAATGCGGCTCCGGAATAAATTCTGTTCCGGAATAAATGCGGCACCGGAATAAATGCGGCTCCGGAATAAATTCTGTTCCGGAATAAATGCGGCACCGGAATAAATGTGGCTCCGGAATAAATTCTGTTTCGGAATAAATGCGGCACCGGAATAAATGCGGCACAGGATTAAATGTGGCTCCGGAATAAATTCTGTTCCGGAATAAATGCGGCACCGGAATAAATGTGGCTCCGGAATAAATTCTGTTCCGGAATAAATGCGGCACCGGAATAAATGCGGCTTCTGAAAAATCGCGGATACTGAGTAAATGTGGCTCCTTTTACAAGAACATAAAAGTATTGGAGAACATATAAAATATAAAATATAAACATATAATTAGTATTTGCTGCAGGGCAGTTCAGGGTCTACTGTGTATAATGTCAGAGCGCATAAAAAATAATGTAATGTTCTTTCGAAATAATCTTAGTGGAGATTTTTATACTGATTCCTTATCTAAAGATTTCATTTAAAGATCTTCTTATATAAAAATCTTAATAAAACGCTTTATCTAGTGCACCTCAACATTAAAGTAGAAAAATAAGTAAATAGAAAGGTCGCCAGTTTTTGGTCTATACCAGTTACCATCGTAACAAATATATCCATGATTGCCAGACTAAAGATCTCATGTCATAGAGGCATGAAGACTTAGACACATAGTGGTTTAATCTGGTAGAAAATTGATCTGTGACGTTTTGTCCTAAGTTATTTTGTCCTCAGACATTTAGTTCTGGGATATTTTGTCCTGAGATATTTTGTCCTGAGACATTTTGTCCTGAGACATTTTGTCTTGAGATATTTTGTCCTGAGACATTTTGTCTGAGACATTTTGTCCTGAGACATTTTGTCTTGAGATATTTTGTCTTGAGAAATTTTGTCCTGAGAAATTTTGTCCTGAGATATTTTGTCCTGAGATATTTTGTCCTGAGATATTTTGTCCTGAGATATTTTGTCCTGAGATATTTTGTCCTGAGATATTTTGACATTTTGTCCTGAGAAATTTTGTCCTGAGATATTTTGTCCTGAGATATTTTGTCCTGAGATATTTTGTCCTGCTGAGATATTTTGTCTTGAGATATTTTGTCCTGAGACATTTTGTCTTGAGATATTTTGTCCTGAGACATTTTGTCCTGAGATATTTTGTCCTGAGATATTTAGTCCTGAGATATTTTGTCCTGAGATATTTTGACATTTTGTCCTGAGAAATTTTGTCTTGAGATAATTTGTCCTAAGATATTTTGTCCTGAGATATTTTGTCCTGAGATATTTTGTCCTGAGATATTTTGTCCTGAGATATTTTGTCCTGAGAAATTTTGTCTTGAGATAATTTGTCCTAAGATATTTTGTCCTGAGATATTTTGTCCTGAGATATTTTGTCCTGAGAAATTTTGTCTTGAGATAATTTGTCCTAAGATATTTTGTCCTGAGATATTTTGTCCTGAGATATTTTGTTCAATGGGGCTGTGTGTAGGCACTACAACACATGTATTTATAATACCAATAAACTAAAACCAATTAGACAAAATAAAACAGGCCAGTTTTGTAAAGGTTACACTCGCATCGTAAAGTAATTAAGCCTGTAATTAACGCAATCAACCTAAAGTTGTTTTTGTTCTAAGACCATCTTAATAGCATCACGATGATAATAGCGCTATGCTCTCAACAAACCCTCGACACATTTTCTCCATTACGACACAGCAATCCATAGCCCAACTAATCACAGCCCACATTAGATCCACAAAAACACCTTTTATGCATATTAAAATATGTCGTTTTAAGACAACAGTTTGTGGAGAGATAAAAAAAAAGGTGAAATAATGAACATGTTTCAATACGACTGTTTATATTGATTTTTTAAACCCCTTGAACTGTAAGTGCAGTGTGTTAGAAAAGGTGAAAATAATTTTTCGGATATTTATCCAGTGCAAAGGTGACTGATTTGAAACATTTGTAAAAAAAATTGTAACAACAAGACAAGCATTCGATACGATTATTAAAAACATATATAAACATCGTAATAAGATGGAGAGATTAAGATAAAAAAATAATAATTAAGAATTTCTCATAGTGTGAAAGCTGTTTTGAAATGAAAAATTCATCAGTATTTGAAAGGACGGAGATCGTATTATATAATAGGAAGCAAAGCATGAAGGGTGTATTACATCATAGCGTTACATTGGGTAGGGGTTGCTGTAAAGCAGTTTTATAAAACTCTTTGATTTTTTTTACTTTGTAGGGAAAACGTAGGTTTCTATACACTTTTTGGGAGTTTTCTGGTAAACAGAAGAGGTACTCTATTTGAAGTTCTCTCTCTCTCTCTCTCTTTCAATATCTCTCTCTGTATATATATATATATATATATATATATATATATATATATATATATATATATATATATATATATATATATATATATATATATATATATATATATATATATATATATATATATATCAGAATTTGAAAACAACATGTTTATGTTTTTCTCGAAAAACGAGCGGTCTAGCCCTGTTTCTCTAGATCCGCCATCTAAATAGCTACTGTTATATACGAATATATATATATATATATATATATATATATATATATATATATATATATATATATATATATATATACAAGAAATCTTAAGGGAGCCTATTCCCGCTTTATTTAAAAATTCTTATTTCGGCAATATTTATTTTACGTGCTTAATTACGCTGGCTGTCTACACATTTTTACTTCTCCCCTTATCTACCTACATACGTGTGGTAGACTAAACTCTAATTAACGAAATCAACAAACATGGGTTAGAGGAAGCAACAGTTACAACAATACTTACAACAGACAGTAGCTTTAGTCTGTTGCAGAATTACAACAATACAACAAACAATATCTGTTGCTTGTTGCAGAATTACAACAATGCTTACAACAAACAGAATCTGTTGCCTGTTGCAGAATTACAACGATACTTACAAAAAAAACACTAGCTGGTGTCTGATGCTGAATAAAAACAATTCTCTCTACCAAGGATTTGTATACCGGCATAAACGTAACGTTGAATTCAACCTAATTGGCATTTGTCAAAAAATATTTCGCATGCCTTGTCTGGGAAATAGCAACAAATCTCTTAGAAAAACATACAGGGCTGTAAATTCGGTGCCAGCTTTTAGCGATTACAATTAAAATACTTATTTAAAAAAAAAAAATAAACCACGTGGTCTAATTATAATAATTAAAAATCAGATTAAAAAAAATACAATATGTACGAAAAACGGTTGCTTGTACTAGCTAAATAAATAAGCACATTAATTTCATTGTTTTTACATCATCTTTGTTAATAAAACAAGCTTATTATTTCTAGCTGAGAACCAAGATTGTTATCTCCAATATAGAGAGTTTTTTTCACTCGAGTGGGGCCGTACACACGATTTCCCTAATGAACTGATCTTTAAATGATGGGATGGCGTGGCCTAGAGATAGAGCGCAAGACTGCTAACCCGAAAGTCTCGAGTTCAAGTAATTAGAACGTCCCTGAGTCCACCCTGTTCTGATGAGTACCTAAGTCACGTTAGGGAAACAAAGCCGGTTGGGCATACTCCTGGTCACACTATCCCTTCATATACCGAGATCAAGAAATACATTAACTCTACTTCATCTGACCAAGGGATCGCTAGTCCTAAAGAGTAATCGATACTATACCGTGATAAATGAACCTTTTGATATGTTTTTGTCATACTTAAACTAGTTAAAAGATAACTAACATCATTCAATAAGTTGAACCAATAATGGAAATCGATGGGTCAAAGTGTTTATTGATGATTACAGATGATTTAAAAACATTGAACTACTGATGTATCAGAGACATATAA